AAACGGGGAGATCTACCTCAACGAGTGTCTACAGAAGCGTCTGCTTCATCTGTTGAAGCAACACGAGGGCCCTACGGTCTTCTGGCCGGATCTAGCTTCATGCCACTATTCAAATGTTGTCCTGGAGTGGTGCGAAGCCAACGGGGTCACTTTCGTACCCAAGGATATGAACCCTCCCCCCAACGCAGCGGAACTAAGGCCCATCGAAAAATACTGGGCTTTTATGAAGCAGGTACTACGGAAGCATCCCTAGGAGGTCAAATCTGAGGAAGACATGAAGAAAAAGTGGGTTTCCGTACAGAATAAGCTGCAGCCAGATGTTGTACAAAACCTATTGAGAGGAGTTAGGCGTAAGATGCGAGCGTACGGTTATGGTATTGAAGTTGAATGAAATAAATATTTCAAATGCTTACTAATGGGTTATATTTTATTGTCTGCAGGTTTGGAAAGGATCGGTCAACTAGGTAATTTTCTACAGTGTTTTTTTTTCGTGATGCAATTTGATGTGGAACACCCTCTAGTAACAACGGGACTCGTCGTCTCATAGCTGAACCGCGAAAATTTTCTGAAATTCTAGGGATAAGTCATCCCCTTGCTGAAAATGTGCGACTGATTAGTAGCTTGGCACTCTCCTCAAAGTTGGAATCCTCGGTAAACCGCTTCGAAGCTTCCCGGCGCAACTACCATCGAGTCAACTGGGCGCAATATAAACACTGCTTCGACACAACCATCGACTACGATGTCCAACCGGGGACGTCCGAAAATGTTGTCCGGTGTCTACAAACTATCGAGGAGGCGATTTCCAGGGCCAGGGAACAACACATTCCAGTATCCAGACAGGTGAGTAATACTTTGAACCTTGACAGCCCTACCAAAGATCTCATTAGACTCCGTAACTCTATTCGTAGGCAGTACCAGCGTACTGGCCTGCCTAACTTGAAGACCAATTGTAATCGATTAACAAAGATCATTCAGGCCAAGATGGTGGATCTCAGAAATAACGATTTTGCTAATAAGATCCGCTCTCTCCCAGATTGTACTTAGCCCTACTGGAAACTTACAAAAATTCTTAAAAACAAGCCTAGGCCCATTCCACCACTGACCCCACTGGACCGTCCCGGCGACCCAGTGGTTCATCTGATAACTCCTGAAGAGAAGGCTGCCGCGATAGGTCAACACTTCGTCAGCTCCAATAATCTCGGACAAAACATCGTCAGCCCTCATGAATCTGAGGTTGCTGAAAATGATTCCTAACATTTTTCTAGAGGAGTCCGAGATTACGGCTGACGAACTGTTGGCCTATATCAAATCATCTAAAAACATGAAGGCCCCAGGTTTCGACAACATCCTGAATCTGGAACTCAAACACTTGAGTTCCAGATTCTACAACCATCTGGCACTGATTTTTAATCTGTGCCTCCGACCTGGCTACGTCCCCTCGTGCTGGAAGTCAGCTAAAATCATACCCATCCGGAAACCTGGGAAGGATCCGTCCTCTCCTTCAAGTTATCGACCAATGGGTTATCAAAACTGTTCGAAAGAGCACTGTACCACCGGCTCCTAAAATCTGCCGAACAAAGCAACATCTTACTCGAGGAACAGTTTGGTTTTCGGAAAGGTCGTTCGACCGTCTACCAGCTGACTCGAGTAACAAACATTCACAAACGGAACAAGTCTGTTTCGAAAACATCTGCCATGGCGTTGTTTGATGTTGAAAAAGCGTTCGATAATGTCTGGCATGATGGCCTGGTGTTCAAATTGCAGCAGTACGGTCTTCCAATCTTCCTAGTGAAGATAATAAACAACTACCTATCTGAGAGGACGTTCCAAGTCTCTCTGAATGGCATCACATCGGATGCTTTCAACATCGGTGCCGGGGTTCCACAAGGAAGCATCCTTGGCCCCATTCTACTCAACCCGTTGACCTCCGCTATGCCGGCTCTCCCTGTTGGTGGATCGTTGTCTCTGTTCGCAGATGACACATCCATCGTCTACAAGGGTAGGGTCATCGGAGCTCTGACTGCCAAACTTCAGAGAGGCCTGGACGTCCTGTCTGAATATTTCAACAGCTGGAAGATCCGTATCAATGCGGCAAAGACCCAGGTCTTTATCTTTCCACATTCAAAATCTCCCAGACTTGTTCCGTCTGAAAATAATAAGATCTGTTTAAACTGCTCAGTGGTGGAATGGTCCAAATAGGTCGTGTACCTCGGGCTAACACTAGACAGCAAGCTTCTTTTCAGGGAGCACGTTGACAAAACGAAAGCCAAGTGCAACATCTTGATAAGATCGTTGTATCCACTCATCAACAGGAGGTCTACCCTGTCCATGAAAAATAAGCTTGCTGTCTACAAACAAATCATCCTTCCTGTAATCGAGTACGGTATGCCAATCTGGGAGAGTTGCGCAAAATGCCATCACCTTAAACTCCAAAGGATCCAGAACAAGATCCTTAGGATGGTCCTAAACAGTCCCCCACGGACTAGAAATTCTGAGATCCACCTCCTGGCTGGAATTCAGACATTAGAAGAACGGAGAATATTCATCCTGGAAAGGTTCAGAGACACCTGTCTGAGAACAAATCATCAGATCATACGTGATCTAGCACGTTAGGTTAAGTTATTCTCGTAGTTAGGTAGGTTATCACTTTTTTTCAATTCAAATAAAACAAATCCCCAAAGGGGTATTCTGTAAACTAGTTGAAAAACGCAAATATTAAATAATGATAAATCAATGTACTACCATAATCAACAGAAATAAACATAATTTTACTACTACTAGATGAAGAGAATCGATCAAACTCACTTGCAACCCTGCTTCCAGGTTTGATTACAAGAATACAACTCTGGAGAGCATTTTGTGTGGTCGTTGGGAGTGTGTGGTTCTGAATATGGTGATGAGTGTGCAACATGTTACACTATTACATCCTCCTTATTCGCACACGCCCGAAGATCGGAGGCGAATGCCACTTCGACTTGATTTGTCTAGAAACGATAATCTGATGACTGTGTTGGGGAAGCAGCATATGCATGTACGTAATTGGTAGATTTGTTAGTTATTTCTACGCTTTTGGACAAAGCTTGACATTTACCACTTTTTCAATTGTTTCTTGGTTTAAATCAACAGTCGGTAGCAATGCTTTTGATGCGTAGAAATATTTCTGATCAATTGGTGATAAAATTATCGCAATTGAACCAGGGGCAGCTGAGTTATTAACGTTCAAAATCTTTCATAATTTCGTAACATTTTCCATTTTTGGTTTTCACAAAGTGTACCCCCATATAGAAATCACAGACGTAGCCCTACGTCAAAAAGGAGGTCTACATAAATTATAAATTGCTGACACATGGACTTAACCTACGTAGTATTGCAAGTTTTATCAAGTTCTTAAAACATTCTATAAGTCCAAATTATAGGCAACAAGGTTGTAATAAATCCAAAATTGCTATTTGGGCAATTGGTTTCCCCAAATGTGGAAATTATCATCAGGATATATATTTCAACTAAGACCACCAACTGCTCAACTGATAACCAATAATAAATTGAGGGATGCTATAAACCACGCTTAATTGGTTACTGATAATGAATATTGAGTTCGAAACATTGATGAAAATTGATATCAACACTTCTATAAACAAATTCCTAGGTAAGAGGAGTCGTAACCTGATTTAGTTTAATTGGGTGTTAAAACAAATGCAGATTAGACAAAGTATTTTCAATTAAAAAGGATTGTCGCAAGTACCTGTTTTTATTTCATATGTGCAAGAATTTAAAACTTGTTATCAAATCATAGGGTGGTTAAGACGGCCCTGTTGACAACTGTATCAAAACCGAACACTTCATAATTTCTCAATAGTGATGGAGTAACATGACATGCACTAAACTAAGGACATGGTGAAGGACGGGTCAACCAGCAGACACGCTGAACTGGAGTAAAAACGGACAAGCAAAGATTTACGACTTGCAGAATAAAAACGCGACCGATCTTAAAACTGAGGCAAAAGAACGTGAGAATGCCGGCTCTCAACTTAGTGTTTTCGATGACGTACAGGACGCACATGAAATTGCAGACAAGCACTAGCCACTAGCTGAGCGAGCGTAACATTGTCCAGCAGGTAAAGTCTCAAGGACGTTGAATCAGGAATAGTTTAAAAGTGGGACCTGTAAAAGTTGTGACCAGCCATGCATTAGGCATAGCGAGGAGGGCCTGCATGATTATGCAACGTAAATTGCGTACCTCGTTGCATCATAACCACTCAAGCGACCTTGAGTCCCGATCAAATTGACTCCACTCCAGACTGATTGACCTACACTTTCCCTTCTCTCGCAACGCAATCATTGTCGGTCTTTCAATTTAAGCAGCAAACTGAGACCCCCATCAAACGAATTACCATTTCGAATCAACCTTCCTTATTGGTATCTGTCCCTGTCACGATAAGCGTGGTTAAGTACTGTAATTTGGGCCGATTTACGTTGACCTCAGGTCGTAATCCATCCTCAAGAACGCAATTGTCTGGCAAACCCGTTCCTGATCGATTTACTTCACTTTCACAATCATCACCACCTTGTTTTTCGTTGTTTTGCGACCTTCCGACCAAACACACGTGTGCTGGCAAAACCCTTTCACTCTGTTTGCAAAACGACCGAGACGGCCCCACCTCTCCAAAACTCGTCCCATAAATTTGTCATCGAAATGGGATCGTTACACGGCTTAGTTTTGAATCACTTTCCGGTCGTAATTAGCTTCGATTAATGAACTGCTGTGTCGGGAAGTCGGGTGTTGTAAATTGTACAATATTAGTGCAATTGCATTTGCTGATTTTACGGCCTGAATGCTAGCAGGGTGCTGAAAGCTCACATTAAGACCCACGATGGAGCTCGGAATGGCTAACAAGATACGACAGATGGCGGTCATTAGAGGAGAGTGATCAAGTCGGACCGGTTGGCGGCGTTCGTCGTCTGGCTCGGGAGGGAAGTCAAATATTTTAAACTCAAACGCATTTCATAACAAAAATCTTAATTTATTCGACTTGTGTACATTCGTTCGATCGATCTGCTTACACACATACACAGGAGTACTGATTTACACTGACAAATAATTTACCTAAATTTCCCTAAACAAAAGCTGCCTGCACCGCAGTGGACGGATTAGTAGAACTGTTGCTTCCAGGCTTCCGGTTTTTTGTCGGCTGCACCCCAGTACCGGTGGCCACCGTAGGGTCCGTGCTCGTGATCATGATCCTGATCGTGGTAGTGGCCCCCGTGCTGGTGGTGGTGGTAGTCCCCGTGGCCATTTCCGTGCGACTGGTATTCAACGCCGTGGTACTTGTTGAAGTGGTACGCCTTGGCGGTCGTCGGATATTGCTGGGTCGTGTACACGTGAGAACTCGGGTGGTCATACGAAGGGATGGAGGTGTACTTGGTCACTGGGGCAACGGTGGGGGCGTACGAGGTAGGTGTGTAGCTGGCAGGCTGTGTGTACCCAGTTGGGAGTAGGGTAGAGCCCGGGTAGGTACTGAGTTCGGTACCTCCAAATTTGGGCCGAATGGCACCTGGCCGGACCGATGGCTGGACGTCACACACGGTTCCGGCGACCAGGGTGCTCAGAGGAGCGGTGAAAATGCGGAAGTTGATATCGCTGTAGTCCAGCTCGGCGATCAGGAACACTGGCATACGGTCGGAGATGACCCACACGTTCTCCTCTGCATCGATCTTGACGTCAGCGGGGAAGACCAGTTCAACATCGTCGCGATCGACGATTCCGTGGTATTCGGGGCTGTATGGGAGCGACGAGTGCCAGCAACCGACGGCGTTCTGATCGATCAGGTTGAACAGCTGCAGGCCGGTTTCGCTCATCACACGGGAGGTGGTGTGGGCGTTGGGTCCTCGTTCCTTCAGATATTGGAACTTGTGGAAGCTCTCTTCGGCGCCTTCTTCGTCGCGCAGGACCTGAGTGGAAACCATGAATTCACGGTGGCTGGCCAGCGGTGAGAAGTACATGGTACGGAAACCATCGGCTTGCATCGGGGACAGTGACATTCCGAAGATACCTTCCTCACCCCATTGGAAGTTCAGGCCGGCAACGTTGAAATCACCGCGCAGAGGGTCTGGGAAGAAGAAGCTGTGCTCGAATCGCCAGGACTTGTTCTTTTCGAAGGAGTACGCAATCAAACCGTAGCCCAGCTCATCGGACATGTACGCGAAGGTGTCCTCGCAGCTGCGGCCCATATCGATGGCAATGTTGGCAATGAAGGTGTTCTGGTTGGTGTCGTCCGCACGCAGTTCGTAGCGCCGGATGCGGGTGTTCGTCTTCAGGTCGAAGATGTTCAAAGCGTACGGGCACAGCTGCTGGGTGGTGTTGCCAATACCGACGGTACCGGTATCCAGGACCCACAGACGGCCGCACTTGTCAGCCTTGATGCGGTACACGGTGGATAGACCGTTCTCGCAGTCTCCGGCCACGTTGGTTGCCCAGCTTGGGTACGGGATCAGCGGTGGCGATCCTGAGGGCGTCTGGTTCATGTCGATGTAGTTCAGGGTAGATGGGATGCCTGCGAAGAGAAAGAATGGAACATCAGTAAATTTCCACCGGGCAATCAATCACAAGGCGAAGGTTCAGTTGGTGCGTCAATTAGCAATTTTGCAAAAAATAAAAGTGCATTAAGCGATCGGTTCAATCGAATTATCCAAGTGGTGAAGCGACCTTGAACTTGGCAGCGATATTGGTGGCGCCTTATGCGGCTGCTCAGCCACCTCGTTTTCGCGCTTTGCATTCATTCATCTTCCATTATTCATTGAGCGAACGCGAGGTTTAAGGTAGGTCCAAAACTGTTGGGCTGTTGAAAATGGTTGAGAGCTGAGCAGTCGTTGCATAAGACCGGCGCGCAGCAGTCGTTTTTGGGATTGATTTCACTGATCTCTTTTGAGTGACTGACGGACGGACGGCGGCAGCAGCAGCAGCGTTGAGATCTTAATCGCCCGCCCGGTTTCACGTTATTGCTAAGGAGCTGTCACGAATGGTTATTTTGGATGAATGCATGCATGCGGTGCTGCAGGTTAGGTGTTGAAATGGATTTTCGACTGTCAAAAGCGATCATGTTTCGATGGTGGAGGGAGATCGGATTTCACGAAGCTTCTGTTCTGCGGCTGTTTGCAAATCAAGCTGAGCACCTGAATGGGGAACATGAGTTAATTGATTGCAGTTTAAGTTTGGTTATTTTTATTTAGAGTCAGATTTACTCGAATTTGGTATGGTATGCACGCTAAAAATGAGCTACTAATCTGTGGGTTGGAAACAGCCCAATTCTTGAAAACGGGCGGGTTATACGGGCGTTTCTAGAGGGCTTAAGAATATTTTTTTTTGACGCTCCAGATAGCTTCAGAAGCCCTATGGATTAGCTTCTAAGACGTTATTAGTCAATTCAGGTAGCTCTAAAGGTTGATAGTAATGACCTTGTGAGTACATTCTAGATATTATACAGTCTGTGGCTCAACTCCAGAACCATTATTTTGATGAATATCCCAAGTAAAAATTTGGGTTTTATGAAGGTTCTGCAGACAATGATTGAGACTTGTAGAACGCTTTAAAACATGGGAATTCAGTTTACATTCCTTTAATGTCGGATTTTGGCAGCATTTCTCCATTTTTATAGCACGGCTGATCGGTGCTTACGCAATGCACGTTCCTTGTGGGATTTCAGCTATTTGGAGTTCAACTCTGATTTGAGGGTAATTAGATAAAGTTAACGGCCTGTTGTCTTTGGGACAGTCGTTGAGTAGAAAATTGCCAATTTTTTGGAGATACATAGGCTCCAGCAAGTTACAACCTGTTCCTCCGGAAAACCCGGGACAACAGTAAAATTGATCAAATCATGAAACTGATCCTAGTGGTCCTAGTGAAACACGGTTCGTTAGACATCGCAACATGTTCAATCGGAACCAATTCGAGTTGCGATTGGAATACAAACCCTGGTGGCCACTGAGTGAACCTCCACACGATCCAGAGCAACCAACCCAGTGGCAGGCGCGTAGGCAACATATTATACCGTGACAGCGGGCCCAGCACAGCAAAATAAACGATTTGAGCCCGGGACATGCTGCCTACTGTCAAACGCTGCTGTTGGTATAGGCCTTGTCACTGGCCTGAGAGCAAACGCCAAACAGGTAATTGCTTCAGTGGAAAACTGATCATAGAGCACAACAAATTTCTTGAAAACAAAAGATCGAAGGACATAAGGTAGTTGGACAAAAGGTCGAAGAAGAAAAGATCGAAAGGACAAAAGGTCGAAAAGACAAATGGTCTAATGGATAAAAGGTCGAATTGAACTTAGAGGGACATAAGGTCGAATGAACAAAAGGTCGAACTGAACTTAGAGGGACATAAGGTCGAATGGACAAAAGGTCTAAATGGTTAATAGGTCGAATTGTTGGAGGATAAAATCGGTGGCCATCTCAAATATTTTCCCTTCTTTCAATCATGAGCAGTTATTTGGGAAATTAAGATACTGTGTGCATTACTGTAATTTCAGAGAAAAATAAATGCCTTTCTCTAGATTATTTTCCTTCATTTATCATTAGCAGTTAAGTTCTCTTAAACCGGAGTGAACATTTTCTAAACATTGTTTTATCCTTTTATCTATTCGACCTTTTTACCCTTCGACCTTTTGACCCTTCGACCCTTCGACCTATTGACCCTTCGACCTTAAGTTAGATTCTACTTTTTGTCCATTCGACCTTTTGTCCACTTTGACCTTTTGTCGATTCGACCTTTCCTCCCTTCGTCCTTTTGTCGATTGGACATTTTGCAACAATTATGCAAAGTTTCATGATCTTTGGCTTGTACCCGAGATGCAGTGATGAATTTCCTGCTGTGACCCAAGCATGTCTGTCCTTCTATAGATCCGGAACATCCAGGAAGTGGTCATTTCGTGAAACTGCTCCCGTCATTTTTTTTTTCGATGAGACTTGAATCCTAAATATAATGACAAATTTGAGGTTGTGACTTAAACATGGACCCTGGTGGCTATTGGACCGTCCTCTGAGATCCTGAATGTCCGCAAAAGTGGAAATTGCATGAAGCTGATTCTTGAAGTTTTCTGAATTCTCAAAAATCCCGGAAAGTGCTATTTCCTATGAACTTCTTTGAGAATCCCTATGCATGGACAACAGTCCTGGGAGCTTCTATGAACATCTCTGAAATGTCCAATTAGCTTCGTCGAGAAGTCCTATGAACTTCTCCGACAAATATTATGGACTATTAACTACTCAAGAAGTACTATGGACTTGTTTGAGAAGTCATAGTAGCTCCTTATATTCCTGAAAATTGATGTCGATATTGCCGAGAAGGCTTACGTTTCAATAATACCAGAAAGCTCCATGGACATCCCCGAAAAGCCATATGATCTTCTCCGATAAATCCTGATGTTCTACGAACTCCCGGAGGAATTCCTTGGCATCCTTGAGACGTCCAATGGACTCCCCGATAAGTCTTGCTAAGTCCTATGAACTTGCCGAGAAAGCTTATTGACTCCCCTGAGCAGTCCTATGGATAGTTCTGAAAGATCCTAAGAACATCCGCGAGATGTCCAATGAACTTTCTTGAGAAGTCCTATGGACTCCCAATAATTTCCAATAATCCCCGAAAAGTTCTATTGTCTCACAAAAATCCCGGGAAGTTCTACGAACATTTTCAAAAACTCCTACGAGCATCCTCGAGAAGTCCCATGAACTTTTCCGGGAAATCTTATGGACTATGAACTTGTTTGAGAAAAAAATATTAACTCCTATTTCTGAACAAGTTTTCTGAAGTCTTATGGACTGAGCAGTGTTCTGGAAGCTCAATAATCCCGAGAAGTACTATGGACATCCCAGAAAATTCATATGAACTTCCCCGTAAAGACCAATGAACTTCCCCGTGAACTCCTTTGAACTTCTCCGAGATATCTTATGGACTATGGACTTGTTAGGGAAGTCCTATGAAATCATCTTCGGGTTAATTGCTATGGACATCCCCGAAAAGTCTTGCGTCCCAATGATCCAAGGAAGACATTCCCGGAAACTCCAATGAACTTCTACAAAAAAATCTCATTCATCCCCATAAGAAGTCCTATGGACATCTCTAAAATTTCCTATGTCATCTTCCAAAATGTGCTACGAAGTCCCACAACCAGCGTATGGGCATTCTCGAGAAGTCTTATGGATTCCCCCGAGTAGTCCTCTGAAGTCTTATGGACTGCCTTCGAGAAGTTTCATGGATTAGCACGAGAAGTTTTCTTAAGTCTTATGGACTGCCCTGAAGTAGTCTTCTGGAACATCAATAATCCCGGAAAGTGCTATGGACATCCCCGAAAAGTCATGTGAACTTCCCCGTGAACTCCTTTCTCAGGATATCTTATGGACTGTGGGCTTGTTAGAGAAGTCCTATGAACTCATCTTCTGGTAAATTGCTATGGACATCCCCGAAAAGTCTTGTGTCCCAATAATCCAAGGAAGACATTCCCAAAAACTCCAATGAACTTCTCCAAACAATCTTATTCATCCCCATGAGAAGTCCTATGGACATCTCTTAAATTTCCTATGTCATTTTCCGAGATGTACTACGAAGTCCCACAGCCAGCGTATGGGCATTCTCGAGCAGTCTTATGGACTCCCCCGAGAAGTCCTCTGAAGTCTTATGGACTGCCTTCGAGAAGTTTCATGGACTAGCACGAGAAGTTTTCTAAAGTCTTATGGAGGGCCCTGAAGTAGTCTTCTGGAACATCAATAATCCCGGAAAGTGCTATGGACAACTCATAAAAGTCATACGAACTTCCCCATGAAGACCAATGAACTTCTCCGAGATATCTTATGGACTATGGGTTAGGGAAGTCCTATGAACTCATCTTCGGGTAAATTGCTATGGACAGCCCCGGAAAGTCTTGCGTCTCAATAATCCAAGGAAGACATTCCCGAAAATTCCAATGAACTTCTCCAAAAAATCTTATTCATCCCCATGAGAAGTCCTATGGACATCTCTAAAATTTCCTATGTCATCTTCCAAAATGTGCTACGAAGTCCCACAACCAGCGTATGGGCATTCTCGAGAAGTCTTATGGATTCCCCCGAGTAGTCCTCTGAAGTCTTATGGACTGCCTTCGAGAAGTTTCATGGATTAGCACGAGAAGTTTTCTTAAGTCTTATGGACTGCCCTGAAGTAGTCTTCTGGAACATCAATAATCCCGGAAAGTGCTATGGACAACTCATAAAAGTCATACGAACTTCCCCATGAAGACCAATGAACTTCTCCGAGATATCTTATGGACTATGGGTTAGGGAAGTCCTATGAACTCATCTTCGGGTAAATTGCTATGGACAGCCCCGGAAAGTCTTGCGTCTCAATAATCCAAGGAAGACATTCCCGAAAATTCCAATGAACTTCTCCAAAAAATCTTATTCATCCCCATGAGAAGTCCTATGGACATCTCTAAAATTTCCTATGTCATCTTCCAAAATGTGCTACGAAGTCCCACAACCAGCGTATGGGCATTCTCGAGAAGTCTTATGGACTCCCCCG